ATATGATTCCAGACATTCTACTTAACCCCACAGTTTAAGTTATTTCTGTGGATTAATTTATGTATTACTGGGTTCCTCATAATCAGACATCTATTTGACTTAAGAATAGTGTATCAAGTGTGCTATATAGTATAGTGAAAAAACTATATGCACAAATTTAAACATTGAGGTTTACATCTACACCTATTGAAAATAATTAAATTCTCGCTGTAAGAAAAAATCTATGAAATATAGATATTAGTAATTTTACTTCAAGATAAAAATGCAAAAATGGAATCTTATCAGATTTTAACCCTCTTTCGTTTACGACAACAATCAGTCAAACTACAGTGACTTACCTAACAGATACAGATATAGGATCCCTCGTCCGGCGTCCCGAAATCCAGAAGTACCTGAAATCTGGCTATTTTTGAAAATGCAGCATTTTCAAAAATCTCAGGATTATCATATTTCAAATTGGCACCCATTAGTTGTTTTTGGCTAACCACAACACACGTGTAGAACTTTAAACATCCAGTTTACTGTATTCCCTAGGTTGTGTATGTTTTCAAGTGAACTTTATCAACATTTCATTTACCTGTATTGCCATTAAAGATGTTTAAAAGGCCAACAAGTTCTGTTGATGCTGAGAGAGTGAAAAGGAAACATTTTTTTCCTCAATATAAAGCAAAAAGTTGAGCTACTGATGAAAATGGACAAGGGAACTTCAGTGAAGAAGTTAAGTGATGAGTATGGTGTTGGAACATCAACGATCTATGACCTCAAGATACAAAAGGAACAGTTACTTAACCCTACCAAACATGTCCAACAGGTATTCCTATGGTCACAAGTCACAGGCAATGTCATCTCATTTGTTTTATTGAACAACTACTTCATGAATTTATGTCAATAACTTTTGTATCAAACTGTAGATTATAATTAAATTTTAGTATTATATATTACTCAATTTCTTAATTTAAAAGCAAGTATTAAAAAAACACACAGATAAACAACAATTTTTGTGTGTCACGTGGTATGTTGAATGCAGCCCTGGTTCAAATTAGACTTTTGTGAAGTCAAAATACTAAGTCTATAGTTTTGTACGAATTAGAAACTCAAATTACCAATATTGACAAGCTAGAATATAAAATAAGAGCATCTTATCTTTCAATTTGCTAAGATATTTCTCATGTAATAAATCAAACAGTGGCACCCTGCTCACCTTTTTCCATTTTTGAAAATGCTCCCTTATATACACTTCTATATACAACATGAATAACAAATTGGAAGCTCAGAATGTCCCCAAGTGGCTTTCTCAGCTTAGAGCCATTTCTTTCTTTTCAACCAATATCTCAACGAGGTAGGATGTGTCTTTAGCCTAGTCAAAATTTCATATTTTTTTTTTTTACTAATATACATCTTAGTTACCAAGCTTGATAAATTATAGTGGAATTCTATGGTATTAATGTAGTTATTTATGATTTTTTAGTTATTCAAAAAAAAAAATTTTCATATCCTCCTCGTGCAATTATTTTATAGGCTTAGCAACGTACATCAAGCAGTAACCGAGTACAAAGGTCGTAAATAGAAGAGATAATTGTTTGCTTTACTTCTTTAGTTACTGTTCTATGTTTTAAGAAAAATAAGTTTAAGAACTTATTTCAAAATAGCAATAATCTATATATATTGGTGTACTTTGGTGACAGATTTTCTTAAACAAGACCGATGTCTGTAGGTTTACTTTCTTCTTAG